TGAGGCCAGATGCATTATGGGCTTTTCGTGCTGACATGCCAGTGGGCAGGCAGTGTTGTTAACTCTTGCAATGCTTGTTATTTATTTTAAAGCCCAAGCTCCAGGAATCCAGTGATTACCTGAAGGTCTCAGCTTTCATTTCAAAATAAAAAGTGTTTAGCCCTTCTAGCAATGGAGGGAAGCCTGCATATATTAATCTAATGCAGCCACAAATCCAGAAGGCAATTTTTTTTTAAATTAAAACTCATGTATTTAAGTCACTCATTGTTTTGAGATGCTTGACTCAATCTTTGAATGCTTAAAATTCATGATATTAGAGAGGCAACAGTGTTAAAGTTTCTGCAAGCAGGCTCAAAGAATTCGGAAGTGGGGCTGGGACCAGACCAAAAGAGGAGCCTTCTCAGACATAGACACTTTGTATTAATTGTCTGGGCCTATTACATCCTGGCATGTCCAAAGCAATTTATAAGGAGGGGATGTGCCTGTGTGGATGGAATCAGCTGCCCTTGGCAGTCACGGTCTATATAGAGGAAACTCCTAATTGGAGGGAAGTGAGGCAGAGGAACAAGGATAGGGTAAAGTGGCTCACCAGAAATGGAACTGAGTTACCAAGTCTTTGCCCAAAACTCAAACTTGCCATCCCCATTTCCCGATGTGCAGCCAGAACTCAAACCAGATCCTCCAACTTTTGTCTGAAATTCAAAGGCATCCTCAATATCATCAGCATCTTCCTCTCCCTGCCCTCACCAACACACAAAGTGTGAATGGGGTTAGTTAGTTGTCATTCTATTTTCAGTTTCACTCAGTGCAGGCAATTGCTTCCTGATTCCAGCCAAAAGCAATAGTGCTAAAAGCCTGCAAGGAAAGGTTGTTGTCTGTAGAATGTGGGACTGGCTGGACCCAGGAAATTCTGACGAGGGGAAATGGCCTGACAAGAGGGCTCTGGCATTGACACAACCAGGAAAGTAGGAGCTGCTTTGAGTGACTGACCCGTCAAGCCTTCTGGAGCTTTGCCTGACACTGAGTAGGGGCTGGAGGGGAATGAGGTGGCACACAGCTGAACAGGAAGGAGAAATCTCTGCAATAAGCAATTAGAGAACAGCTGAATGGAAGCAAAAGGTAGTGGGGAGATAGCTCCTGATTATACCAGGGCTGGAATGGAAACCCAGTAAAGGGCAGGGGGCAGTAGAGTCTAGCCAGAGAAATGAAACAGTGATGAGAAGTGTGAGGAGGAAACACAGGCCTTGTCTACACTATCAGATAAGGCTGAATCTATTAAGGTCGATTTTTAGCACCCAATTTTCAAAGATGCATGTCCCCACTGCGTGCACTGTGTTGACATAGAACATACCCACAGTGGGGTGGCTACTGTCGACTTTGACAGCAATGCACTGTGGGTAGCTATCCCACAATTCCTGCCACTCCTTTGCATCCTGGGTTAAGCTCCCAGTGCCTGACAGGACCAAAACAGTGCAGTGGATAGTTCTGGGTACATGTCATCAGCATTCCATAATGCACTAATCTGCTCCCTTCCCTCTGCTTGAAAGCAATGGCAAGCAATCTTTCTGCACCCTTTTTTTC